GTTCTTGTAAAATAATTCAGGAGCCATACACCCTATTGTTCCTCTTGTTGCAGTTAAAGTTACAATACTATCACCAACAGAATACAATCTTGCCAATCCAAAATCTAAAATATTTGGAATAAAATTATCATCAAGAAGAATGTTATGGGGCTTAATATCAAAATGTAATATTTGTATATCGCATCCATGGCGAAGGTAAGCTATCCCACGAGCTACTCCCAGAGAAATCTCATATATCTTATTAAAACTCAAGGAGACCCTTTCTTTCTTTGAAAAAATATATTTATCCAAAGATCCATTTGACATGAATTCATAGACAAGAGCACACTTAGTTCCTTCTACACAAAACCCAACAAGATGAACCACGTTTAAATGGTGTATCCTCCCAATGGTTGCAACTTCACTGATAAATTCTTGGCCATTGGCTTTGGATTTGCCCAACATTTTAATAGCAACGTAAGATCCACTTCTTAGCTTCCCTTTGTATACAGTTCCAAAGCCCCCTTCACCTAACGTAATCTTAAAACCTTCTGTCATTGCTCTTAATTCCTTGTAGGAGTACCTTATTGGAATAAGGTTTTGGAGCCTTATAAAATCTTCAATGTTCTCAAACATTGACATGTGCCTTCTCCGGCATGTATAAATCAACAATATGGATAGTAGTAGGACCCCAATTGAAAATCTGACTATGATGCATGGCACAAGACCTATTGCAGTAAGTATTCCCAATTTGATTGCTGGATTTGTTGGAATAGAATCGGTGTCATTGTGGGGAGGGTATATACCCTTCCTTGCTGTTTCGTCAAGTCCTGTACCCGTTTTTTCCCCACAAATAAACACCATATAATTGGTTAGTAGTGACAAGAATGTGACTACTTGAATACACATAAAATTAAGTATTAATACTATTTTTAGTCCCTGAAATTGATTTCTTTTTTGTGTTAGTTTCTAAAATTTAAAGTCAGTGGTTTTATTTTTGAAATTTAATTTCATTTTTATTCGTCTAACAATTTTAGTCCTTAAAATAGTTTTTGGTCTTTGAGACAATATGTCAAGAACCAAAATTATTAGTTTCAAATTTTAGGGACTAAAATTAAAATAAACTAAAATTTTAGGGGTTGAAAATGGTATTAACCTTATAATTAATTATTAGTATTTCTTTTACAGTAGGATTTTATACAAATGAAAAAGAACAAGGTATAAAAATATAAGTAATAATATCTAAATAAATTATATTATATTGGGTTAAAACATTTTTTCTATCTTTGATTTTGCCTACCCTTAGAAGTAAGACACTAAGACGTGTGCATATGTGATGAGACGTAGGTTTGATATCTGGAGTGAAACTTTATTTGACGTTTATAAAGTATTTAAAATCATGAGTAACATCATTTATTTATATAAAGTTTATTTTTATTTTTGACCATGACAAGATATAAAGTTTATAGACTTTTTTTTATGGCAGAAATAAGGAGTCAATCAAAAGTGTTATTTTGATATTGTCGTGGACTTGTTTTAAAAGGATGATGAAAAAGTGTAGGAATTTACTTGTAAAATATAAGATCCCTTTTTCCCAATTCAATCACTTAATATTCGCATGTGCTCAGGCCAAAAAAAAAAAAAAATCGTATGTGCAGAATCAATTTAATTTGGCATATCTAAATGAAGATAGATATGGCACAAATTATAAGTAAGAAATTAAAATAAAATATTTATTGAGAAGATATATTAAAATTGATCAATTAATTAATTAAGAAATTAAATTAAAATCGTGGGCTCGCGGCTAAACCCAATAAAATAACAAGAAACGTACCGGGGACGAGATAGAACCTTACCTTTTTCCAATCCATAAAGAAAATCTGCAAGGAAATTTTAGGAGTGTCAACAACGGCAGTGATTGGATACAAAATAAGTATCTAATGGTATGTTGTTTTCCTTTAAAATTTATAGGCCGGATATGTTACGGAAAGTGCTATATAACCTTTTATATGATAATAGCAAATAATTAAATTAATCAATTTTCTTATATATGTGAAAAAGCTCATTAATTACCTTCTGCCAATATGCGCCGCTTTGATAAATGACCTGCAATACTCAGAAATATTAAAAATTAAAAACCGTAAATATAATGTCATCGTCTTGAATATGGAAATCTCAATTGAAAAAAAACTAATTTTTTTTCATTAATCATTGATTGATTGTTGAGGGAAAAAAGTTTTGCTTCATTTAAGCCAAGAAAACTGTGAAAACAAATCTGAATTAAGTAAGATGTGCTACTAGTGAGTAAAGGGTGGGTGTTTCTCAATATAAAAATAGGTTTAATATTTAATTTAGTTCTAAATTAAAGATCTTAATTTATTTTGTCTTTTATATTTATTTATTTATTTTAAAACAATCTCTTTAATAGTTATACATGTTAAAAATTTTATCAAATAATAGTTTTAATTAATACAAATGATTAGTAAAGATATTCTAAAAAAGATAACACTTATTTATTATAAATAATTAATTTAACAAATATTTGTAATCTACTCATATTAGTTAACTTACTCTTATATTAAAAACACGGAGGCAGTACTTATTAACAAAAATAAAATAATATATTTAATTTAAACCAGAAACGGAAAAATAACGCACATTTTTTTCCGACCTTGCCGCGGGTTATTCCCATGGGACTAATAGACCTACTGGGAAACGTAACGCATCTGAGACTCATTGTTTTTGGGGCCAAAGAGCATTTACGATCACTTGGGCATTTAAAATCAACACAAGCTCTTCGCCGGCATGAAAGCTCAAATCCAGAGGAAAGCACTGTGTGAATATCAACGTAGGACTTGTGTCTTCAATCTCCCATTGACTCCCAATCTGAGGCTATAGGGGCTACCGATTTCACACGACACTGAGATTTTAACTGGTAAGCCGGTAAATCTCCGGCCACGGCATAAACATGGCTTCCTCTTTCCCAATTCACGCAGGGAGCTGTGTCCAGGTACGCTGCGTCGTCCCTCACTGGACCCCTGAACTTCAGGTACACTACGTGCTTGAATGTAAATTGTTTGTACGTCAGAACAGCGTCGGAGGGTCGATGGCGATGAGTGTCAGTGAAATTGGATAGGGATAAGAGATAGAGAGACAGGGAAGAGCAATTTCACTCCTGAATTCCAGGGTCTGCGAGTCGGATTGTGAGGTTGCTGTGGTCGATTCCTAGCACTCTGTATGTTGCTGAATTCAGATGAAGCAGAGTGACGTTTTTTCACAGGCTAGCTCGTAGAGTGGATGGCCACAGCCGGGCGGGTAATCTCTTAGTCGAAATGGGTGTCTGATGTTTGTGATAATGCCGCACCGAGATGGAGCACAGGACTTGCTCCATGCGTTAGAAGCAGTGTAAGCAACACTAGGTCCCACCGCCTTAAGCCTTTCTCTCTCTCCATCGTTCACAATGATGTGCAGTTGTTGATTCTAAGCTTTGTTATTCAATAAATTCCTTTTTTTCTATTTAATAAACACAGCTCCTCGTCATTTTTCTTTTCTTCTTATCCACGCGGCTAACTTGTTTTTCTTTTTCCAAAGTTGACTTCACTTTCTGATTAATGACTTGTCTTTACATCTCTCTTGGTCACTATGAATATTGACTAACTGCTAGAGTAGTTTCCCCCCATTTTCCTGTACGTTAGGAAATACAAATTAAAAAATTTCTTATCTGAAAGTTCTAAAGAGATTGATAATTAAGTGAAGAAAAGAAACAAATTTAATCAATCCAAAGCTTTTAATTACTTAAGTAGCACCATAGACCACGGCTAACAATTTTGGTCAATTCAAAGTTTTTACTTAAGTCGTATCGTAAACCACGGGCCAATTTTAGTCAATTTTGATCAATTCAAAGCTTTTACTTAAATAGCATCATAGATCACGATGAACAATTTTGATCAGTTATACTCAATTCAAAACTTGAGTAGTACTGTAGTCCACATGCCATGGCAAATAATTTCAGTAAACTCTGATCAATTTAACACGTTTATTTAAATAGCACCATAAACCACGACAAACAATTTTGGTCATCTATGATCAATACAAAAATTTTACTTAAGCAGCACCATAGACCACGGCTAACAATTTCAAAGAACTGTAATCCATTCAAAGTTTTTACTCAAGTAGCATCGTAAACCATAAGCCATGGCAAACAATTTTGGTCAATTCTGATCAATCCAAAGCCTTTCTTAAATAGTGCCAAGGTTCATGGTAAACAATTTTGATCAACTCTAGTCAATACAAAGCTTTTCCTTAACTAACACTATAAACCAATGCAAACAATTTTGGTCAAATCTGATCAATCCAAAGTTTTTTACTTCAGTAGCATCACAGACCACGACAACAATTTTAACCCAAAGTGCACTTCCAAGTCAATTCCTTCTTCTCCTTGCTTTCATTCTAAATGAAATATATGTCGTGTCACCTAACATACATTGGTATCCCAATCCAACTTTCATGCACAACTCGGAAAAGAAAATATTTCCTTACCATGTTTTGCTATCGCAGATTTTTGTTGTTGGTGATATTCCAGCTATCAATGTTCCTTGTGAAACAAGGGAATAGTCTGAACCAGCGTGTGCCTAATTATAAAACTGTTCCATTCCATCTCTTTGACCATGGCAGGATGGTTGAGTTCCCGTCCATCCCTGCTCTTGAAGGAGTAAGTCTTCGCGTCTATGACAGAGACTATAAATCCCACATCTTACACACAGAGGATCCAGACGGTTGTCTTCCCAAACTCTTTCTACAACATCGTCTCTACAATTCATCCATTTATCCTTTAGAGTTTTATGATATAACCAAAGAAAATGTTACTTTCTTCAATTGTTCTTCACTTGGGTCGAGATACCTTAGACACGAACACTTTTCCAATTCATCTGCACAAGATATGGTTGTCTGCCCAATTTATGCTATTTCCTCCGAAGATAGTATCCTAGAGTGGGACCTTGCCTTCTGCACCAAGATGTTTCAGGTAGTTTCTTCAATTTCCGCAATGTGCCTTCAAAGAAATGTCTTGCAAATCAAATTTCCACAACCAAATTCTGATATTGAAAAGGGCAAAACCAGGAAGATTCTTGGAATTGTTTTCCCAGGTGCTTGTGACAATCATCGACTTTGCTTTTCCTCTTTTGCTCTTTTTTCCCCCTCTCAACTTGGCTTTTGGTTTGTTCCTTTGATTGAAATTGGATGTTTAATTTACATGCTTCTGTAACTCCAGGTTCAATTCTATTGGCGTTGGTGTTCATTGCGTGCTTTTACATATATCTCTATTTCAAAGAAAAAGGAGATGATCAAGTGAGATTGGAAAAGTTTTTGGAGAATTACAAGGTACATAAACCTACTAGATTTTCTTATGCTGACCTGAAAAGAATCACAAATCATTTCAAGTATAAACTAGGTGAAGGAGCTCATGGAGAAGTGTTTAAAGGTAAGTTATCTACCGAAATCCAAGTGGCAGTGAAAGTAATCAATAATTCAGATAGCGATGGGCAAGAGTTCATCAATGAAGTGGGGACTATGGGTAAAATTCATCACATCAACGTTGTTCGTTTGCTAGGCTTTTGTGCTGATGGTTTTCATCGTGCTCTTGTTTATGACTTCTTTCCAAATGGTTCCCTTCAGAAGTTCATAACTTCGCCAGACAACAAGGAAAATTTCCTTGGATGGTTGAAATTGCAACAGTTAGCCCTTTCCATAGCTCAAGGGATTGAATATCTTCATCAAGGTTGTGATTACCGAATTCTTCACTTTGACATCAATCCTCGTAATGTGCTGTTAGATCACAATTTTACTCCAAAAATTTCTGATTTTGGCCTAGCTAAATTGTGTTCTAAAAATCAAAGTACAATATCAATAACAGCAGCTAAAGGAACTTTGGGTTATATTGCCCCTGAAATATTCTCTCGAAACTTTGGAAAGGTGTCATATAAAGCAGATATTTACAGTTATGGAATACTGCTACTAGAAATGGTTGGTGGAAGGAAAAATGTTGACACTAATCCAGAAACCTTACAAGTGTTATGCCCAGATTGGATCCATAGTTTGATGGAAGGAGGTGATATAAGTATCCATATGGAAGATGAAGATGACATTAAGATTGCGAGAAAACTAGCAATTGTGGGACTTTGGTGCATTCAATGGCATCCAGCAAATCGTCCTTCCATGAAGACCATTATTCAAATGCTAGACGGAGAGGTTGATAAATTAAAGGTGCCTCCTACTCCATTTGACTTTGCCACTTCAACTAATATGAGTACCATCATTCCTACGAGACATTTGAATTTAGAGTTAGAAGTGGTTCATGAATTCGAATAAATACTTGAGTGTGTATGAATACATGTAATTTTTACTTTTATTGAGAGTATTTTGTGAGGCTTGTAATATTATTTTCATGTTTATCCATAGATTAAATCAATTATTATCTATTTCCGTTCCATGTCCAAATTGATGCTTTCTATTTAGGATCACTTTCTGTCTTTAATATAAGAATGAATTGACTCATTTAAGTAAATTAAGAAAATTAGATAAATAAGTTATTTACTACCTTAAATCCTATTTATAAGACATTATTCTACAAATGAGGTTTTATAAGTAGAATTAGAAGTAATATAATAAAAAAGTATTGTATTCCCTAAAATACCCATGTTAATCATATTTATTAGTTAAAACTATCATTTGATAAAATATTTAACATGTGCAACTATTACAATGATTACCTTAAGAAAAATTGATAAATATAAGAGACAAAGTGTATTGGTATCTTATATTTAAGACCAAATTAAATGTCAAACTAATTCTTATAGTAAGGATTAGAGGTAGTATGTTTATTACATAGAACATTTTGTTATATTAATGTCATGGATATTAATAAAAGGGTTAAGGTTCATCTAGTAGCTAGAAAATTATTTTAAAATATATTTAGCATCGTAAAATAATTTATGATGTAGTTTGACTTATGAAATTTTAAAAGTGAAACACCTGTTATTTCCTGTTATATATCAAGAAAAAACATATTATTAATATCAAGTTTAGACTTGTCATTTCCAAATAAATTATTATCATTTTTAATTAATGCACCGGTTATTTCCTGTTATATATCAGGAAAAAAACACATTGTTAATCTTAAGTTTAGACTTGTCATTTTCTAATCAAGACATGTAATTTCTAAATAAATTATTATAATTTTTAATTAATGTACATGCTATTTTTTGTTATGTATCAGGAAAAGTTGTTTTGTTAATATCAAATTTAGGCTTGTTATTTTTTAATTAAGACCTGTCATTTCCAGATAAATTATTGTTATTAGCTGGAGTCACAATAAAAGAGTCAAGTTATATTTTTGGTTTGCATCATAAGGTTAATAAATCTTTGATGGTTCAATGGGTTTTTTTTTTGTTGGCCCAAATAACCAAGAGGTAGTGAGATCAAATCCTAGGTAGTGAGATCAAATCCTACTCCCACCACTTTCTTGAAATATTATCACATGGCTAAAAAAAATTTGTGACAAAAAAAAAATCACCAACAGCCACCACATCAGTGCCGGCGGGCCGTAGTGGCTGCTATTAGTGAGGGGCTGAACCTTTTTTTTTTAAAAAAAAAAAGATAAAAGGGACTTTTGTCATTTTACTAAATTTTAAGATTTCAATTTGAGAAGGTCTTTCCTCTCTGTCATTAGAAATCCTTAGCTTCCCAAATTGGGATATCATATATTCAGCCTTTTTTATTTGTCATTTTCCCTTCGCAATTTAAAAAAAATATTTTTAGTTATTTAACTGCGCTCATCCAATATCATGATTTTTTTTACACTTTACACAGGACGGAAATCACCAGATTCCAATTCCATTTATATTTATTGTTGAAAGTTACTACCTGCTATTTTTAATATAAGACTCAGTTAACTAATTTGAAAAAATTAAAAAAAAATTAAATAAATTATTTTAAAACAACATATTTATCTTTATTCTCTAAACTAATTTGCTTTACTTATAAACTGATATATAAATTACATAAGTATTTTAGAAAAATTATGTAACATGTGCTATAATTAAGTAATTTTTTTAGGTTTTTAAATTTTCTCAAATTAATTAATTAAGTTTTATATGAAGGAGATCATTTCTCCCATTTTTATCTCGACTTAGGGTGTGTTTGGTTGGAGGGGAGGGGAGGGGAGGGGAGGGGAGCCCCTCCCCTCATTTGGTTAGAAATTTTGGAGGGGAGGGGAGCTAAAATGTCCCCTCCCCTCCCCTCCCCTCCCTCCCCCCATTTTGGCTCCCCTCCAAATTGGGGGTTTTTGGAGGGGAGCCAAAATTTGGACTATTATGCCCTTATGGCTTTTTTAATATTCCACTTCTACCCATAAAATATTATTATAATATTTATTTCAAATAAAAAATATATTATCCTAAGTAAAAAAATAAAAAATATATACATTATTATAATTAAAAATATATTATAAAAATTATTTAAAAATAAAAATATTTAAATAAAAAATTATAATATTATAAAATTAATTGTTTTTTATAAATATATTATTTATTAAATATATTTTAAAGCTGGAAAAAAAGATAGCCTAAAGAAAATAAAATTTCATTTTTCTTATAGCATATAAAATTTGTTAATTTGATTATTTTAAATATATTATTATATTAATTAGAATAAAAAATTACTATACCCATTTTTTAATACACATATTAACATGATAAGACTGAATTTTTATTAAATTATATAATTTAAATTAAGATGTAAATTAATTTATATAATATATCAATAAAAAACATAAACTAATATGTAAGGGTAAAATGGTAAATTGATTATTACTATCTCTCCCCTCCCCTCCTTGAACCAAACAAGGGATCATTAAATGCCCTCCCCTCCCCTCCTTTTTAATCAAACCAAACAAGGGGAGGATGAAATCTCCCCCCCCTCCCCTACCTCTCCCTTCCTCCCTCCCCTTCCCTCCCCTCAAACCAAACAGGCCCTTACAAGCGGCTCTGATGAGCGTATTTAAGGGAGAAAAGTTTTCAACCAAATATCACTGTCACGTGGAAAATTAGAGACATTTGTTTAACGTTTTAGTCTTCTCAAGGTATTGATAAAAATTTTAAATATTTTGTCTTCCTAATTTAATTCCCAACTTATTTTGTAGGTCTAGATGTCTCTTTCTTGAGGGATGAGCATTCTAGCCACGACTTGGAAAACTTGGGCATATTATTTTCGTTGTCGTTGTCCGGTCTCAAATTATTGTGACCCCAAGTTTTACGAATATTATGGTCCCTTTGTAACTTATTTTATACTCCCTCCTTCCAAAATATAAAAAGCAGTTAAGGAATTAGTTTTGATCTTAAGTATAATATCCCAATCAATTTTATCTTTTTTATTTATCAATTTTTCAAAACCAATTTATCTAACCTATAAATTAATGAATAATCTAATATTTTACAAAAAGTGTTTTAGAGAAATTATGTCATATTTATTATAATTAACTAATTTATCTAACTTTTTTAATGTATTCAATTTCCAAATTACTAACTCAGTCCTTAACATAAGAGCTAGTTGGAAATTGAATTTGATCATAAATATAATACATCAATCTACTTTGTCTTCTATTTTTTCTCAAAATATCTTTATTGGTTGAATACATATGATTAAAAAAGATAATTTAATAGACCAACATGTAGCTCTTAACTAATTTTCTTAATATATTTAAATTAGCTATTTAGCTTTTATATTAAAAATTGAGGGTAGTAGTTAAGTAGCTCCATCTGTAGGCCATAAGTTTTCCCCCAAAATGCAGCTATGTAAATGTGGAAAACAATATTTATCTTTGTTTGTCATTACTTAGGATCCGTTTGACACAAGAGAAATAGAGAGAAGCTGAGGAAAAATTTTAATGAGCTTGATTTAAAAAATTGCGAAAGTGTGATTAAACTTTTATCTTAAATATTCTCTTTATTAAAACTTTATGACGCCACTTTTTTAATTTTATAAATCAAGTTTGTTAAATTTGTTCCTTCGCTCCCCTCCCTTCCATTCCCCTCATATCAGATGGTTAAAGTAATTGTAGGTTTTTCCATGCATCTTAATTTTAAGTGATATTATAATCCATTTCTAACTTGACTTAAAATTATTGGAGTCTATTTTTTTGTTGGGATGAGTATTATATGGGTAATATGGTTCGTATGTTTGTTTCCACAGGCGTACATGTTAATTATGACCGTTTCACATGGCTTTAAAATTTTTTTTTTTTAAATATATTGTGATCTCTTTCTAAGGTACGTGTTGTGTAAGTGTGGAAATTGAATTTACTGGCTTTAGTTTTGTCATTGTTTAATGTTACGAATTTCTCACTACGCCTTGATTAATTTTTAAATATATTAATATGATATGATATACAATAAAAAATATGAAAATTATGGCATGAAAAAAACCGTCAACTTTTAAGGTAATTTTAACGGCAGAAGAGTTGATGACCCACACATGAATCAGCGCCCTTAATTTAAACCTTTAAAGATTAGAGATGTGATCTACAAATGATTCAAATTTCGGGAAGAGTTTTGTGTATTTTAGTCTTTTTAGATTTATTTTGCTTTTTTTAATTGGAATTATTGTTATATTAATTATTTTTATTCTGTGAGCTACTAGTATAGCTAGTAGTAATAATTAATAAACTAGAGACACTTTTTTAAGTTGTCATTAATAATATACGAAGTTATGACTTTTAACTTTGAGAGGCATATAATCAAATAATTTTCAACTGGTTTTGTAATTATGGTGGTCTCACTTTGTCATTAATATAAAAGAGTTTTTGCAAAGGTAAAATTGGGGAAAAGTCCTCCATCGAAAAGTTTATTGATGAGAATAATCTAAATCAAAATACAAGTACCTTGTGTACACAAAAGTTGTAGAGTACATATATATACTTATCAGATTTTCTCACCAATAAAATTTTCAATAAAGAATTCCCCCAATTTTCCTTTTAAACTTGGTAAAAATAGCCCATTGTTTTATTTATGATTTTTCTTGTAAAATTTAATCATTTTGTCTTTGTTATACTATCATGAGATTATATACAAGATATTTTGAATTAAAATATTTAGTAATAAATAACAATATGAGTAAAATAAATATTATATATCTCAATTTTCACCTAAGAAGAAAATATCTTCCCCATACATAAATCAATTTGGAAAAACAGTATTACTATCGTATGCGTGATATTGTGCGGGTGTCATAATGTGTTGAGTATTCCTACTAGGGCTGAGCAACGGGCGGGCTAGCCTAGCCCGAAGGTTAGCCCATAGCCCGCCCATTTAACA